TGTGTGTGTGTGTGTGTATATATATATATATATATAATATACTGCCCGTCCAAAAACACAGTGTCCGCCTGGATTTAACTAAGGTCTATGATGTGGGGTTGCTGCTGTTGGTCAGGTTCAGGTTCAGCAACAGTTTGTGCTCAAAGAATGAGCTCAGCTGACCTGAATAAACTGAATGAGCAGGTTGTTCCATCAATGATTGTTTCTTCTTTTCTCTGGATGGAAATAAATCTGGTGACATTGCAGAAGCTTATTAAAAACAATGCACAGCAAATGTGTGATGTAATCAAAGCTAAAGACAGTCCAATCCAATTTAACTGTGACCTTTTTTTTAATTATTATTATTTTATTTTATTTTTTATTTTTTTTGTGGTGATGTTTTTGGGCCTGGCAGTTGATAATGAAAAGTGCGTTACAAATTTAAATTCATTAATGTTTTTATTTCTAAAACCTAAACGGCCTACAGTATTTTTACAGTCTGGTTTGTAGTTGAAGTAAATGTTTATTAATATTGTCTAATGTTCCAACTCGTCAGAGATCATTGTAAACTGTTAAAGGACAGAGTTTGAGTCGGAGCACAGCTGCTGTGTTTGTCCACTGATTAAACTTTTCTGCCTTTTTGAACGAACTAATGTGTGAAATGTTTCCCCCCTGCTCTTTCACTCTTTCAGGGTTTTGATGAGTACATGAACCTGGTTCTAGATGATGCTGAAGAAATCCACATGAAGACTAAGAACAGAAAACCACTTGGTAAGAGCCCTTCTGACTGGATCCTGGTTTGGTCCTGGTGTTGACTTGTACAGTCATTGAACTCATTTTACACTTTACAACATTGTATAACAGAACCAATATTAATAAACTTTTATTTTGTTTATACTGTATATCTTTGTAATTATTCACTGAAGTTTCACATTTATTATCAAACCATCATTTGAGATGATGTAAGTTTATCAAAACGTTCAAGCATAAAAAAAGTCAATTTATTCTCTTCAACAAACTGAATCAAAAACCAAACTCAGAACTAAATCCAACAACAGCTTTATATAAAAAATGTAATTTAGATTTAAGATGAATAGTTTTACAAAGATGATGAGTGTTTCATTTGATTTGAACTCCTAAAATATCCTAAATGATTTCAAAAACAGTTAGAACTTTATTTGTATTCCTGGATTTTTGTCCTCTACAGTGACCAACGTAAAAAAACCTTCAAACGAAAATATTAAAAAATATTAATTTTTTAATAAAAGAACATGTTAAATACCAGCATCTACAGGAAAACTGGATATGAAATAAAACTTTGTGAATATTGTGAAAAGAAGGTTTGCTTTTAAAAGTCGATCAGTTTTTTCTGCTCAGCATCACGTCTTCTGATTATAACAATAAATGTTGTGAATATAAATCTTGGACACAAGGCTGACAGCTGTCAGGCTTCACAATCATTCTTTTATTTCGGTATTTGTTGCATCAGAGGCCAGCTTCTGCGGTGTTCAGAAAATGTTGGCTCCTGAGCAAACTGTGATGGTGGCCCTGGTGCTTTAAGTCTTGTCAGTTTTACAGTAAATGCTGAGTCATCACATTAGCTGTCTCTCAATTAATGGGTTGCAATCAGAGGTGTCAAAAGTATTCACATTCATTACTTAAGTAGAAGTATAGATACTAGGGTTTAAAATACTTTTTTTGGAAGTAGAAGTATCAACTCAAGCTTTTTACTCAAGTAAAAGTAAGAAAGTACTGATTTTAAAATTACTTAAAGTATAAAAGTAAACGTAATGAACACTTAAAAAAAACCATTAAGGATGAAAGCTTAGGCTGTGCCACAGGGTTAGCCCCCACCCCACACCCAATTTTCTTCTAAAGTCAGTAATGAGTATAATGTTAAATTAAAATGTTAATGTTGAAATTTTTTGAATTAAGACTGGCTTCAGCCATGATAATCTTCATTCTAGGCTACATACATCTGCTACAGTATGTCCTGCTGGAATGTGATGGGATTGTGTCATACAGGTGTGATAGTGATTTTAATCCAATAGGATGTCAAAATAGTATTTATTTACACTTCTCATCCAACCACAATCAAATTCACTCTATCCATGGGCTCCATGTATAGAGTTCTGTTTATTTTTTTCTGAAACAAGTCAAAGTTAAATAGAAATTAAAAACTTTTTGCATTTTTAAAAAGTAAGGAATAGAAAGTACAGATAATTGAATTAAAATGTAAAGGAGTAGAAGTAAAAAGTAGGCTAAAAAATAATTACTCCACTAAAGAATAAATAACCAAAATTTCTACTTAAGTAAAGTAACAGTATTTGTACTTAGTTACTTGACACCTCTGGTTGCAGTCAATGTAGACCGCTGTCGACCTGGGCTGTGAAATCAGACTGTAGTCTACAGAAGACGTATGTTTGTGTGACCAGGCGCTGCCTCGTTAATATGGTGATACGTTTTATATCACATGGCTTCAGCTGTGTTTTTCAAAGTATAACTTCATAAAATTAAGTTTCAATAGAAAAAAACGTTACGAGGAAATAAATAAAAAGCATTAATAATTTGGGTCAGCTCCAGTATCAGTAACTGCATTTTGTTTAACATCTCATTGCAAAAAAAAACGTTTTGTCAGCTAAACTTACATTTTTCAGTCCAAGATAACCTTCCAAACTCAACCATAAAAAAACAACAAACTGAAGATAAAACATCTGTTTTTCTGTTTAATCTGCTGACGGCGCAATGAATTCTACGAATCTGTCAGTCACGTAGGATACTTAGATGCAGCCTACGTTTGTCGGCTGCATGAGTAGGCGCCCACGAATTGGGATAGCCTAAGGCGCTGGGCAGTGATGTAGGCAGCCGACAAATGCGCCCCACGTCGGCTGCAAGCCCTGAATTGAGACCCAGCCATTATGTTTGATCTTAAAATACTGGGTCAAAAAATCCTTAGTTAGTCCAAATAGCTGCAGTCAGGCGGTGGGTGATACTGTTGTTCAGTGAGCTGTTGTGTTAAGCTGCTACAATGCAGTAAGTTTGTTTCACACACACACACACACACACACACAAAAAAAAAACACTGGTGCCACTGCTGCCTTGTACACTGCCTGTTCAGTCAAAGGCTTGTGTGTAGTCCTGTCTTTGTCTTTTAGAGAACAATACAAACATCCATATAAAATGATGTCGTATTTCAGGGTGTCGTTTATCTACAATGAATACAAACGAGGTCATGTTGAAGAATTATATTCTTGTTCTAACATTTGTGTTCCTCTCTGTTTTCTGAATTGATGTCTAACTCGTTCTGTCTGCTCATGTCTCTCAGGGAGGGTCATGTTGAAAGGAGACAACATCACTCTGCTGCAAAGTGTGTCCAACTAGAGACAGTGGAGACGCCTACAAGTCTACTTCTCCTTACAAAATACTTTTCCCTCTTTTGATATGTTGACAATGTTTGTGTTTAAATGACATGAATATTTTTCTCCTCTCTCTGCAAGAATAAAGTGTTTTTGTTTGTTTTTTTCTTAAAGTTTATTGTTTTCTTTTCAAAACGTCATTTAGGTTGATGGGCTGCACTGCCATCTGTCTGTAGACAGCATAAATGCATATCCTAATTTTGGTGAAATATAGGCTAGAAAATAGAAAATGCATCTAAAAGCATGCAGAAAGCTTTTTTGTGCTAAAAATATTACTAGAATAGAAGCCAGACTGAATACTTTTTATTTTGTACATAAAAGTTTGTGACATCAGTTTAAAGTCACTGAACTCCTCCTGTATGTATCGGTAACCGTTTTATTTAACAAAGAATAAGTAGCACAATTGTAACTCCGTTTGAAAAGAATTTAAAGTTAGTGATTAACTGGTAATTTTTATGTTTATTCAATGAAAAAAATTCACAAAAACATTTCAAATAAAAGAAAGGTAGCAGAAAGAAAAAAAATCTTATATCTGCCCCTATTTAAAAAATATATTAACTATAATAATAGTTTCAAACAATTACTAATTAATCATTGATAGTTATTAATGATTAATAATCATTTATAGTGGATTTGCAAAATCAAAAACTAAGCTGATAAAAGCTGTAGTGATGGGCACGCAGTGGAAAAATGAACAGCGTGATGACGTAAGTGCGTGCGTACGTTCACATCGTGTCCCTGTTCTGTTGACTGAGAAGCCCCTAGCGCGGACCTGCCAACGCCCGGTGTAGCGACTCCTACAGAGAAAACGGTACGGAAAATTACTTGATATATTTGATGTAAGTAGTGTGAAACTTAGCTCGTTGTTTAGTTTGGGACGTGTCAGCATTATTTTTTAACATTTGTTTGTGTTTAATGTGGGTAGAACTATTTCTGTGAGATCCAGCAACAGCATCCGCTACATATGGCTGAGCTTTTTTTTTTTTTTTTTTTACCCAGCAGGCTAACAGAGGAGGACAGTATTATTATCTGTTAAATCCAGTAAGCAGACTTTTCATCAGCACTCACCGGGTCACTGAACACAAATGTAGTTTGGGGACCAAAGACACTTGATATAGAAATGTTAGAAATAAAAAAACAAGTAATTAGCCGGTAAAGAAACCATAACAAGCGCAGGGTTAGCTGTTCAAATTAAAACCTGATCCCGGGTTTTGTTTGGATCGTGATGTTTAGATCCTAACTTACTGCTGCCATGAAACAAGGTCTAGTTTTGTTGGACAGAAATATATAAACAGTCACTGAGGACCGACAGGAAATAGGCCGGATGAGGCTGCAGGCAGCGATCATCTGTTCAATCCAGGTCAAATAATAAAACATGAGCTTACACTTTAAAGTGAATGTTTTTATATTTTCTCACTCCTTCACTGAACACAGCAGGGCCTGACGGTCATTATTTGCTCTATTTACACTGTAAGGGTCAAAGGTCAGGGCTTTTCTGCCTGAGCTGATGTTGATCAGCAATTTCTATTGCTGAAAAAAAGGGTAGTGATTTTTAGCAGGCACACACCCACATCACACTGAATTACTAAGTGAAGGTCATCTCCCTGCCCTGAATGGATGAGGTGTGGAAGGGTTAATGTTGTTCTTCTGTCTCTCCCTGACAGTGTTCAGATTTACCATCACAAACTGCTCCATAAGATGAGATAAACAACATCCTGTAGGACAACTGTTTGTTTCAAAACACAATGATGATGTTCATGTTTTAGAGGTCCTTAGTGGTCACAACGCTTCTGTCTCTTAATGTCTTTTTTTAAACAAAATATAACAACCCTTAATAGAAAGAACATAAACTTTAGAAGAGCATATTTACAGATAGCTGGCTGCTTCTTCTTATTTTATATTAAAGGTAATTGATTTTGTCTTCAGACGTGGCTGATTGATGAGGTTTTTGATAAATTGTATTTTCTATTTACTTAAAATTAGGGATACACCAATTGCCTTCATTTTTGGAAATCGGCTGATATGCAGGTCAGATCGGTGGAAAAGATTAATTTCTTATCTACCTCCACAAAAATCTGAAAATCAGCCACTGTCCCCTTTAGCTCTGCTGTGAGCACTACCTAATGTTCAGTTAAAACCAGTTTTAAGGGTGTTGTTTGTTGTTTTTCAGTAAAATAAGACTGGAACATGAAGGTGTATTGTGACCTTATAACACCTGATTGGTCAGAAAACTTGTATTGGTGCACCCCTGCTTAAAATGATGCTTTCTGTAATTATGACTGAAGTTCTCTGAAAAAATGGGTAAAATGGCTTCTTCAGGCAGGGGTTCTTGTTAATCTAAAAGATTAGTGTTTTTCTAAGGTCTGCGTGTAGACTCAGGTGTACTTGCTGTCAGGCTCAAATCTTTGTTTGGTTTCTCCTGAATATTCAGTTGAATCTAAAAGGGAACCGGTGGAGCTGTAAGTTATGTGCTTGTTGAAGTACTGGTGTGTGTTTTTAGTTTCAACCTTCAGCCTGATTGTGGTCCTTCATTGAGCGTTACCCCACCCCCACATGGTGCTGCAGAGCTCTGCGGTGCCTCGGTGCTGCTGACATACTCTAGTGGAGGAGAAACGAGCTGAAATCTGTAAAAACATCGGCTCGTTGTTTGAAAATTGGTTGGTTTCCATCTGACAGCTTCAGGTTCAAAATCCTGGTTTGTGGGTCACTGTCAGGGCCTGCTGTAGAGAAGAGCAAGGTCATTTTCGTTAGATGACACTAAAGAAAAGAATCAACCCACTGTCAGCTGGGTTAGATTTCTTGGATTAGCTTACTCATGAGGCAAAGGAAGAAGTATGTGGTACTTTAGAACGTTGATCCATACAGGAGAAGCAGATGGAAGGAAAGACTAACCAGAGCTGTGCCTGCAGACAGGAGACACATCCAGACTTTCACCTGCCTGAAAATGAAGAATTAAAAAAAACTTGATAGGAAATAAAAGCCACAGACACGTCCCTCATTGTTTCTGTTGATCAGGAGGAAGTTACTTACTGTCTGGGTCGATTGCAGGGGTCAACGTCAGGACAGTGTCCAGGTTGTCCAAGAGACAACGTCTTGACAGAATCAGGTTGTCCACCAAAACTGTTGGTTTTCTGCAACCTTTCCAATAATAAGAAGACAGAAATCTCAAGAAGAATATGATTTAAAGTACTGTATTTTGTGCTACATACAAAGTTTACTTTTTAGAAAAACAGTCAGCCAGGTTGTGGACCACCTGGACTCTTTCAGGAGGTTTTCTGCCTGCTCTGTGTTGACAGCTTGGGACAGACCTCAGGGGGATCCTGCCTCAAACATAGAAATCTGCAGTGTGGTATAAAGTACCACAAGGTGATACTTGAGTAAAAGTACAAGTATCTTGCCAAAAAATTACTTAAAATCTCCTTTAGGAATATTACTTGAGTAAGGTCGTATTCACACCTGACACATTTGGTCCGCTTTAAATGGACCAGAGTTCATTTCCAGCATTGGTCCGGACCTTTTGTGCAGGTGTGAATACACTCGTGAACTCTGGTGCGGATCAAACAACCGGACCAAGACCTGCTTTTTGAGGTGGTCTCGGTCCGCTTCCAAACTGCGGTTCACCTCAGTTCGCTTCTGGTGTGAATACAGACCAGACTCCAACTGAACCAACTGCATAAAACATGCGCCTTTTTGGACTTCACAGGCCATCGTTGCTGAGCTAAATAAACTGAAATCATACCTGTTTCATCGTGTCCTGCTTAGCAGCTCTGCTGTCAGCATGTAGTGGGTCAGAACACGCAGAGCACCTCGTCTCCTTTGGGTTACAGTACACATTTATTGACGTCGCTCCAAAATTAGAATTTCATCATGAAACCACCATTAAATTAGCTGCTTTTGATACTTTAAATGCTATTGCAGCTGTACTAACAGCATAAATGTGCACATCAGAACCGCAGCATGCAGGACTTTCATGTTTTTTTCTGGCTCAGTGCGCTCAGTCCCGCCCCGTCCTTTCTGTCCAGTGGGAGCAATGATCATCAGTCTCATGGCTTTGTTTACAAGTTATAGTTCGTTTGCAAAAAAGCACAATGTGAATGCAAACCGCACTAAACGAAAAAAATAAAGTCCACTTTTGGTCCGGACCAAACAAGCGGACCAAAGGACTTTCCTGGTGTGAATACAGCCTTAAAGTCTTAAAATATCGGATATTTTTTGTACTTATGTATTAAAAGTAAAAGTATTATGAGCAGTTAGATTTTCTGTAAGGACATTTATTAGGAGGTGACCTCCCCAAAATGCAGAAATAACTATATTGTATTAAAATAATTAATTTATGTTAAATTTAAGATGCACTAGTCTAGCTGTTTCAGTTTACATACAAACTGTATATCAAGGCTGCTCAAACCTTTTCTCCAAAATGAAAATCTGTCTGAGGCCTGCGACCAAATGCAATAATATAATTCATGAAATACAAATACTTAAGGACAGGCCTTTTATTTTATTGATTATTTCCTGCTGGAGTGTGACATGATTTGTGTACAAACTAATACGCTATCAGAATTTTATATATTTATACTTCTCATTCAACCACAGTTAAATTCACTCTATCTAGGAGGTGCAATTTATATGGATAGTATTTATTTTTTACAATAGTATATATTTTTTACAATAAGAAGCTGGAATGAAAACAAGCAAAAAATGAAATAAAAGTAACAACTTTCTACTTCTTGCCTTTTTTAAAAAATGTAAGGAGTAAAAAAATACAGATAATTGTGTGAAAATGTAAGAAGTAGAAGTTAAAAGTAGGCTGAAAAATAATTACTCAAGTAAAGTACAGATTTGTATCAAATTTAAAATTGTTATCCAAAATCACCCCAAGATTCATAATAAAAACACAGTCTGAGTCCAAAGGGCCAACAGCACTGTTTAATCCTGCCAGTTGGTCTGATTTTCCAAATGTCAGAACCTCTGTTTTATCTTCATTTAAACGAAGAAAATTTAGCTCCATCCAGGATTTAACATCCCTTAGACAGGTTCTGCAGGTTCTCAGTCCTCTGAGCTCCATCAGATCTCAAAGGCAAAGATTTGAATGTCATCTGCATAAAAATGAAAAGATACATCATATTTCCTGAAAATGGACCCCAGAGGAAGTAAATAAATAGAAAACAAAATGGGGCCCAATATTGAGTCTAGAGGAACCCCGCATCCAAGAGGGGCCTCTGATGACAGAAACTCCCCAATTCGAACAGAAAACTTCCTGTCCGGTAAATAGGACTCAAACCATTTAAGAACGTTGCCTTTCACACCAACAAACTGTTCCAAACGTGATAATAAAACTCCATGATCCACCGTGTCGAATGCAGCAGTGAGGTCAAGAAGAATTAAAACAGCAGAGGAACCAGAATCAACAGTTAAAAGCAAGTCATTGCACACCCTGAGAAGTGCTGTTTCTGTACTATGGCGTGACCTAAAACCAGATGGAAACTTTTCATGAATATCATACAGCTCTAAGTGGTCCTGCAACTGAAGATAAACCACCTTCTCCAAAATTTTAGAAAGAAAAGGCAGCTTTGAATCTGGCCTAACGTTTGACAGAACATTAGCGTCCAAATTATTATTATTATTATTATTCATGTATTTGCCAATTGGATGGATCTCTTCATATTTAAAAAAAAATTGTGCTGGAACGAAAATGGTTCGGTTTGTTTTTTTGTTTTTTTTTTTGCTCTGAACCCATAGCAGAAATACATCAACACAATACTTCTGTATTTGTTAATTTATCACAAGGCTAATCGTCATCGCAATATTAAGAACTGTCATTGCACATCACAGGTTTTCCTAATATTGTGCGGCCCTAGTAGAAATGTTGCATACACACAAAAACAGTTGTTTGCGCCAGAATCCACGTCAGTATGTATCAAAACTAACATTGCGTGAAATACAGTATATGCATGCATATATGCTGTGAATGTGCAGACAGCCACGCAAAGTTTTTATGTTGACAGTTTTTTTTACCACAAAGTCCTGAATCTGAACAAAATCCGCAGAAATAAGGATTAAATTTACTCAAATGTATAAGAAGTACTCTATTCTGTTTCCTGGATGTAAGGAGCGTCTGAACACGGTGTTATTTTTTTAGTTTGAGCTTTTATTGTTTAAACCTGGTTAATGAAACTGAGCCTCATTTAACCTCAGACAAGAAAACAGAGCAGCCTGAAAAGTTTTATCACCTGTAGATATGAACACATGTTAGAGAGTGCAGGGCTGTGAGACTCACACAGCTGAGCAGAATAAAATGTGTGAGTTGTCCAAGAAGAAGCTCAGCTGTGATGATTCCTCAGGTCCATAAGATGCAGACATATGTTCCTAAATGGCTGCATGAAGTTGAGTAAGAATGTCAGCTGTTGTGCTGCAGGATGACATCACCACAAGCAGAATTGGGAGCCAGCGTGTTTTTTGGTATCACACTGACCAAAAAGCATATTTTACATCTTGTCGCCGAGCCGAGCCATGCAGCTGACTGAGAGACTTCACGATTCCAAAATCCAAGTCCCACACCACAGCAGAAACTCTGCATCAAGTCAAACACATTTTTACACCACACTACTTATTTAAAAACTTTTCTCACTCACTCTTCATTTAATTCATCATTTCCCTGTATCTAGAAATCATTTCTGATCATGCAGAGAGGACAAGCTGAGGAGATGTACACATGTTGAACATATTTACATCCATTTACATGTTTAAATGGAGGCGTGTCAGGAGGAGTTAGGCTGGGCTATCTTGAAAAATAAAAAAATGTAAATATATAGATATAAAAATAAAATCTCAGATTATACAGATTTTCTTCATTTTTCTGTCTTAAATAGAAATTACAACTTACAGAAAATATTTTCGAAGACTTTCATTTTATTTGAATCGTCCCTTCTGGGAGTTGATCTGAATACAAAGTGCAACTAAATACAAGCTATAAAACATGCTTGTAAAACAAGATGGCATGTCCTGCAATTGTAAACAATGAAAAATAGTTTAGGTTGAACAACAGTGTAAACAAAATTAAACAGTCCTGTTTAAAAGAAATATTCATTGCAAAGTCARCAAATACATTCTTGATATCTTTATATGTAAATTTGTGGCAAGGAAGACAAGCCTGTCCCCTACATCTGGCTGTAGGCATGCCCTGAGGCAGGTAACAGTGCCCCTCCCACACTAAGAACCCTCTCTGTTGGGGCATTTGTAGCAGGACACAGAGAAGTTTCCTGGCCAGGTGACTGAGGTTGTGGTGTTTCCACCACAGAAGTGCATCAGTGTCTGGGTCTGCCTCGAGGGTCAGCAGGTAGGTTGCCAGCTCAGTCTCTGTTTTTGTAGCCTCTGATTGGTGAGGAGATGACTCTGGCACATTTTTTGAAGAAGGCACCAAAGCCTGTTCTTCTCTGCACAGCTGGAGCAGGCAGATGTGGAGCACTTATATTATCAGGCAGACATCCATTCAGTGACAGCTCTTTTTATGTGTTCCACCCTGTCTGGATCAATGTAGGTTGTCCAGAACCATCAGTGAGCCCATGTCTAAGAGTTCATCGTTTACGTGGTCGCTGTATTTATTATTTAGGTACTGCTGCATGCTCTTTTGCTTCTGTGAATTCTGTGTCTTCATCCTGTGCCTGCAGGAGACTGTCTTTGAGCAAATGCAGCACTGGTTTAATGTAGGATACGCTGACACAAGCCTCACCAGACAGAGCATCAGTGAAGTCTTGGAGTATGTCCTGCTAAGTGAGCACAAGATGCCGGCTTTTCTTGTCTGAACCCAGGACATGAACTGCTTCACAAATATCTGCATCACTTTCTGCTGTGAATCCCCTCTAGTTGAGAACTCGGTTATTAGTTGATGAGGGGGCAGACCAAGCTAAGCCTGTACTGTTGGGCGGCTGTGGCGGAGTGGTTAGGGGAGTCGTTCTGGAACCGGAAGGTTGCCACTTCAATCCCCCCGGCCAGCTGTCCCAGTTGTTGTGTCCTTGGGCAAGACACTTCACCCCTTGAGTGTCCTGGATGGATAGAAAAGCACTATAAAAGTACAGTCCATTTACCATTTACTTCAGACATCTCTCTGCTTTTGTTCCAAATATAGGTAAAGAAAGCAGCAGCCTTTTTACAGACAAAAACAAAGGACTTTGTCAGCGACAACAAAATCTGGTTGTCCGCTAACATCTTTGGTTGTCCTTTCGAAAAATGGCAAAATAATCAAGAAAATGTAATTTGATTACTGTATATTCTGTATACAACCCTTACTATATACAAATGTTCTTAGTCAGCTTGAGTGACAATTTCAGGAGCTGCTTGAGTAAGAAAATTGTGATAATCGAGACTGGACGATATGAAAATATAAAACGTGATTTTATTTTATTTTTTTGTCATATCGCCCTGCCGTACCCCAACCACTGTCTTCTCTGTCCGTTCAGCTGACAGTGTTTTCAGCTGTAAACTCCACGGTTCTTCATGACAATAAAAGCTCAGACAGTATTGTTCTGTGATAAATAATTGAACTAACAAGTTTTCTTTGTGTTGCAGGTGTTGAATGAGTGGTGCAGACTGTAAAACGCAGCTATGCAGACCATCAAGTGTGTTGTAGTTGGAGACGGTGCTGTGGGTAAAACCTGCCTGCTCATATCCTACACCACAAACAAGTTCCCATCTGAATATGTACCGACGGTATGTATGTGTGTGTGTGTGACACACAAAAACTCTGACAGACCACGTCCACTTCTGTAGATTCAGACTGTACTTAGAGAAGATTTGTAAAACCTGTGCAATGTTTTCTATTAAAAACGTTCAGATGTTCTTGAATGTGATTTGACAGTGATTTACTTTGGCTAACATAGCCCCTTTAACAGTCAGTTAGGTGGGTTTAACAATCTAAGGAAGCCAGCAGATTGCGTTGAATCACTTCGTCATCCGTCTCAGTCGTTGTGTCCTTGGGCAAGACACTTCATCTGCCTTGCCTGTTGATGGTGGTCAGAGGGTCCGGTGGTGTCGGTGCATGGCATTCTCACCTCTGTCAGTGAGCCCCAAGGCAGCTGTGGCTACAGTGTAGCTTACCATCATCAGTGTGTGAGTGTGCGCGTGTCTGTAAGTGTAAAGTGCCTGTGTGACTGCTTTGTAGTACTATATATGTTCAGTCTATTTACCACAATTTTGGATGTGATGTGCAGCTAATAATAAAGACAGTTTGATTATTATTATTGTCTGTGTCTAACCTGAGTTTGTTTTGTGATTGGCAGGTGTTTGATAACTATGCTGTAACCGTAATGATTGGGGGTGAACCCTACACCCTGGGCCTGTTTGATACAGCAGGTACGTCATTTCTGGCAAGACTTCAGAATCTTGTGAAGTGAAATGAGAAATTTGTTCAAATCCACCGTCATCAAACTGATGTGACGCTCCAGTTTGTGGTGCCTTCATCAGATGATCGGTGATGTTAACTGAATGAGCCAAGTGTTTGAGTTAAACATTTGATTTAATTACAGGTCAGGAGGACTACGACAGGTTACGTCCTCTGAGTTATCCCCAGACAGACGTCTTCCTTGTCTGTTTTTCAGTCGTGTCTCCATCCTCTTTTGAAAATGTCAAAGAAAAGGTACGTTTGTCTGCATTTACTGAATTATTGTCTAAAATAAAATAGACTTTCATGTTCAAATATGAGCTGAATGTGATCTGAAGGCAACAGTGTGTGTTTCCCTAAAATTAGATAAGGAGGGTCCCCCCCACCTCCACCCATTGACCCCCCCACACACACACACACACACACACACACATTCACACAACACAACTAAATCTCCCTACAAGCTATCCCAGACAGATCAATCTATAGAAACTAATCAGTGCTTTCAATCACATTCATACGCTGATGGGATACACATCAGAGGCAGTGGGGGGTGCAGTGTCTTGCCCAGAGACACTTTGACATGTGACTGAATAGTGGTGGAACCGGACCACCAACTCTCTGATTAGAGGACAACTCCCTTAACCCCTCAGCCACAGCTGCCCTAAATAAATAATAAAAATGACGTCTAAATAACAAACACTAATAACATTTAAAATAAGTGTCTGTACCTAAAAGAAAGTCTTAATTTGTGCAACCAGTACTTATCCTTTTTATTTATTTATTTATTTATTTATTTATTTATTTATTTATTTATTTATTTATTTATTTTTGACTACAGGACAAGTTACAAAACAGAAGTTTCAACCTGTTTTTTTTTTAGTAACACTGATTAAAATACCAGCCCTTATATACTACATGTCGATCTATCAACCTCTCCATTCCCTTCAGCAGGAAGGATTTTAAGCTGATGGGTCTGAAAGATTTTGCTTCTCTGTATGTTGGTTTGCCAGGTTTGGGCAGAAAGACAATCTTTGCTGTCCTCCACTCGACTGGTACATAACTGTTTGCTAGACAAGCAACATACTGTATATTCTAGTTATTGTGTCCAGAAGCAATTCCAGTCCTCTTTTGAAGAGCTGGAAAAATACCATCTGGACCGCAAGCTTTGAATGGGTCAAACATTAATCACCCATTTTACTTTGTCTTTGGTAATAATACTTGCAGCTCTGCTCCAGTCGCTCTCTGTTGGATTTGAGTTAGCAACTGTGACAGGCTGTTCAGTCTCTTCTGCCCCAGGAAAGTGCTGAACACACTTGTCTGTGTGACTGTGCAATCCTTCTGATGGAACAATGAAGGATAGATAGTTGACTGGATCATTTTTGAGAAGTTTGTAAAGCTTAGAATAGCCACTAGGTCTTTTAACATCTTCACAAAACTTTGTCTAAAAAAGTCTCTTGCACTCCCTTAAAACACTTTTATGCTACATTTACACCAAACATGTTTTGAGCATCAGGAGCATCTGGTTTACATGCAAAGTCAATGGTGGACGTGCATCTATGGGCGTCTAGAAAACGAGCAACACGTCTGGTGCATTTGGAGCAGCGTGGTTTGAAGCAGTGCACACGTCATGAGCGTTTTCCGTGGGTGCGGCACGTCCAAAGCGTCCGACGTGTGAGTTCTGAACTTTTGCTGCTCGACGCGTAGCATCAACCAATCAGAGAGACTCTACACAGTGACGTACTGGTGACGAGCCAGAAATACTGGAAGCCCGGGAAATCGGATCACACAAACAATGGAGGAAAAACTGATAGTCCGATCATTTGTGATCATTCCAGTGTCCGTTATTGTGATAGAAATAAAAAGGACTTTGCCTGGAGGACGATTAGTGAGGAAGTCGGCATGTTTGGTAAGTTATCGAAACTACTGTTAAAAAGGCTCCTCCTATCGCACGTCTAAAGAAGCGCATCTGCATTCACATCAAATGCCGCTGTCCTCACTGGACACCAGCATCGAGATGCGTGCGTTTTGAGATTTTTGAGGGCGCGCAACACGTTTGGTGTAAATGTAACATTAAAGTGATTGCAGGACTGCACATACTGTTCTCACCTGGATTTACTTGGTTGGGATCTGTATCTTACTGCCTTGCGGAGGCCAGGCAACTCTGGAGTCCACCAGGCCGGCTGCTTTGACAGCCTCCAGACTTTCTCCAGACTTATGGGCAGTTTGCTTGTGACCTTTGTCTCAATGTCTTGCACAGTTTTGATCCTGGTAATTCTCCCACCCATCAACTGGGATAAACTGCTGATAAACGGATTCCAGTCAGTATTTTTCAGGTTTCTATTAGTGACTGGGTGTGGGGACATCTCTCAGTCACATATTTTGTTTACCAAGTCCATAAACCCGACAGTTATATCGATGACCTCCTCCCTATTAACAGTTTGGAAGGTAGGTACACTGCCCTGATTAAAGACTAGCAGATCTTCTGTCAGTAAGTATTCTAACAGAGATCTTCCTCGAGGGTTAATATCAGAGCTCCCCCAGCAAATATGATGGGAGTTGGCTTCACAACCAATGAGTACCGGGAGGCCCTTTTCTTTAGCATAATTGACTGTTGCCATACACTCCTGTGATGGAGGTGGCTGCTGTGAATCAAACAGCAGATAAACAGAGGCTGCAATGATCGGTCTGGATTTACCATTTGCCTGAATGTCCAACTGCACTGCTACAGCATCACCTGTTGTTAGGTGGGGCAGTGCTGTGTGTCTCATGCCTCTTTTCAGGGCTACTGCTGCTCACATCACATAGAAGCGTGCCCCCAGGGAATCCCAGGTCTTGTACCATAGACTTAACTATCCAAGGTTCCTGGATAATGGCTATGCCTGTCTGCATCCTGCTAAGGATCTTTACAATGATGCAAGTTGCTCTGTATAAATTACCTCATCCCTAAAACTACAGAGATTAGGACCCTTTTCTCCATYAGAGGACAACATGTCAGTGTCCTCATCATCTGGAAACCCCAGCACGTGAGGCCCCAACCACTCCCTGATGGGGTGCAGTCATGGGGCTACACTCAGACTGGGTACTCCCTTTCAAGACAGCCTGTTGTTAGGGTTGGGTATTGAAAGGGTTTATTTCGATACTGGTGCTAAATTGATACTTTCAAAACGGTACCAGTTCCTAAACGGTATTTAAATCGGTACTTTGAAAATAAATAAATAAAACACTCACACAGAGGTTTATGAAGCAATGACTATTTGAGTCAAAGTCAAACTTGAAATTGACCAACATTGTTAACTTAAAACCATTAATAATTTGTCTTTGCACCAAATATTCTTAAAGCATTTGTTTTAGGTGGAAGTTTCTGCATCTTATTTTGTAATGTGACACCGCACTTTGGACCGTTTTGCTTTCGACACCTTGACTATAATATATAATATATAACTGTTAACTGCAGCGGCACCTGTTTAGCCCCTCTCCATGAACTTGGCTCTACTCGATTCACTTTGGGTCGGGTCGGTTCTGCTCAGAGTCTGTGTGTCTCCATGCAGTTGGTGTGATAATGTGCGGACCGTCTGCAGCRGCTTCAGCTGTTGTGTTAAAAATAATAATAAAATTAAAAAGCCGTTGTGGTCTTACCGTTCTGACTTAACATTTATTTATTTATTTATTTATTTATTTATTTATTTATTTATTTATTTATTTATTTTCACAGTGTTATTTATTATTTAGTGCTTGTGTAACTGTGGGCGGCCAGTTTGTTGGAAATCTCCCGTGATCTGCTCAGCTTCATCTCCTTCACCTCTCTCCAGGTTTTTTTTATAAGTTCTGCCTTTCCCAAAAAGGCAGTTTTATTTCACCATGTTGTCGTATTGCGCTGCACGCTCTCTTTCCTAAACAAAAGCAGCTCTCTCCAGGAGGAAATTTGCTGTCAGTCAATCCAAGAGTTAATCCACAGGCAGAATTCTGCTGACGTTAAAATCGTGCTGTACTCCCATCTACCTGAACCAACGGAGAGGAGGTTCTGAGACAGCGCGGCTGTGGAGCGCGCTTGGAGACACATTGGGCCGAGACCAAGCCGAGTTGAACCGCGTCCGTGGAGATTGTGTGTCAAGGCTGTCACTGTTAACAGTGAACACCAGAGGGCGCAAATGAACCGCTGTCTTTGAGGCACCGAAGTTAGAGTTGTGTTTCGGTCTGTGTACTACCGTGGATGTTCGCCCCAGTGCCAAACTGGAACCGAGTTTTGGTACCCAACCTTACCTATTGTACATATTTTTGTCATCATTACCTCATCCCAAGTAGTTACTGCAGAACCTGACAATTTATTTTATCTATTACTCAATTAATCGACAGAAAAATCAATAGATTTATCGATTACTAAAATAGTCGTTAGCTGCAGCCCTACTTACAAGTTAATATAGTATTAGAGCTGGGTTTCTGCACAGCTGAGAGTTTAGGCTGGCAGTACAGTAAAGCTTGTGTTTCTATGTGAGAATCGTAAATAAAATTAGATTGGAGGTGGTCTAGTTGAGGTTGTGTACAACAGCATTTTTTTACAAGATTAAAGCAATGTCTGTTTTACTTTATCTATAATAAAGCTTTTCTGTCCAAGTGTGTTTATCTGGGGTTTGTTCCTCCAGTGGGTTCCAGAGATCACCCACCACTGTCCAAAGACGCCCTTCCTCCTAGTTGGGACTCAGATCGACTTGCGTGATGACCCCTCCACTATAGAGAAGCTGGCCAAGAACAAGCAGAAGCCAATCACTCCAGAGACGGCTGAGAAGCTGGCAAGAGACCTAAAGGCTGTGAAATACGTTGAGTGCTCAGCCCTCACACAGGTAACGGTTCATGTTTCACCTGAATGGCAAGAAGTGAGGAAGTGGAGGAAAGAGGAACATGTCTGTATCCCTTCATGCATGTTTTAGATCAGTTTTCTGCTGCATGTTAGACTTTTCTAACTTGGTATTTAGCAGTTTTCCTTCAGCGCTATCAGAGGGGTTGGTTTATGGGACTTCAGTGGCAGAATGATCAGGACTTGGTCTCATACAGTCTGAAAACAAAAGAAGCTGAGGCGTAACCTTCACCTCCCTGCTCTGCTCCTTCCTTCCTTCTTTACTTCCCATGGTGCTGGTGATGTCACTTCCTGTTTCCTGTACTCTGTTCCAGCCTCACTGCAGCTTCTTCCTGTCTCTGCAGCACTGCATGCATGTCTTCCTCAAACAGCCCTGTTCCATGTTCCTCTTCTCCTTCCTCATCCGTCCTTCTGTCTGTGTGCTAACACTTCTCTGTCCTCTTTTGTCGTTGTAGCGTGGGCTGAAGAATGTTTTTGACGAAGCTATCCTAGCTGCTCTAGAACCGCCAGAGACTCAAAGAAAGAGGAAATGCTGTGTATTTTAATCTGCCTGTGACACTGCTCGGATTATTACTCCTTTTTCTTACCACTCTTCTTCTTTTTCCCCGTAACTCATCACATTTTCTGGTATAAAACCTGAAGAGTCTCAGTTTCTTGTACTGGGCGTGTAGTTACTTTACAGCTGGATAAAAGACTGCAGTCTGCTCTGGTCCTGACCCACAACCTAAAATGTCACAATAGCCTGAAACTCAGCTCATCAGAGCGTCCATTTCTAACACTTGGGAAATTAAAATGCTGTTTAATTTGGCAGAAATAAAATCTAATTTACACTGGATGCTGTTCTGCTCCGGTCTGACCTCCACAGTAACCACACAACCATTATAATCTCTTAGAGTAATTACACTGGCTCTGCAGGGTGGCGGCGAACTGACAATAATTCACCTAAACTAGATTCAATCCTATTTTTGCTGGAGCTGCAAGCAAACAACAGCAGATTTGAAGCAGAGCAGATCTGCATGTAGTTCAAGTTCAGGGTTATAGTCCATCAGAATTACATTAAAGGGATGTTCAGATCTTTCTGAAGAAGGGCTCTGTGTAGACGATATACAAATTATATCTGCTGTAGATGGATCCGTGAACAACTTTGTTTTAGGAGAAGGAGTTTACTTCTGGGATTATCAACGTACTAAGAGCTGGTCTAAACACAATAGTCACTTGTCAACACTAACAGATCTTTAAATGGCTCCAATTTCCAAACTTTCATAAGTACTCAGTTTCAGATTCAATTCTTTATTCATTTCATTAAAACAAAACAAATAATTTTATGTACAATATACAATAAAAAGAAAAATGAGAGAAAAAATATATACGGATACTCGAGTAAATGCTCTTTTATAGACTAATTTAAATCACAGTCAGGTCACATTACACTTAATGTACATGGAATTCAGGAGTTGTTTAGAAACACAAACAGAAGCTAGCTGTAGCCATGAAGCTAGCCATAGTCCACAGACCGGTCTCATGAGAGTCTAATATTTCTGGTAGAACATTCTTGGGATGTGACCGTGATGTTCAAAGGTTTCTACTTTAGTATCTAAACCAACCAGAATGAAAAGTTGAAGATGAATTTGTTTTAAAGTTTAAAAAATTCAGTTTGTTGGTGACTCTGTTCATCGGTACAGTTGATGCGAGGGGATTTAAGACTAAAGTGATCCTGGTCCTGCCCTGACTAGCTCTTAGCTCATCAGTCCGTCAGACTTAAACTTTGTTTTCAAACTGAGTTTTTCACAGATCTATGTACAGCAGGTAAGATATTTCTTGTTGATGAACTGTTTGAAGCCCACCTCTGGCAGATGTGATGGTGTTTAAAGCTCAGAGCTGAAACCTGAATCTTAGCTCTGATTTATTTGGGCACACCTTGTTGATTCCTGATGATGGTGGGCCATTACCAGTGATGTGGATCAAGCAATGTTTGTCCAGACTAATTTATTATTATTATTATTATTATTATTATTATTATTATTATTATTATTATTATTATTATTCATGTATTTGCCAATTGGATGGATCTCTTCATATTT